AGCGCCGGCAGCAGACTCCAGCACAAAGCTCACCAAGGGAAGGTCCAAGGGTGCCAGTCAGGGGCACAGGCCCAGACCTGGCACCCCCGCCTCCTCGCAGGTCTGGCCAGCACAGAGCCTGTGGCCTCAGGCACAGGACCTTTCTGCCTTGCTCTCTGGAGGTTGCCCACCCCCCGAGTCCTCCCAAGGAGGCCATGCTGGGACTCTGCTGGACCCTCCAGAGCAGCTGGGTCCTCAGTCCCACCCAGTGACCTTGGCCAGTGCCCAGCTGTCCAGCAGAGCCCTGCCCAGGCCCCAGACCACAAGAGCAGGAGACATCAGGAAGCAGTGGGTGTCTCAAATCACTGAGCTGCAGGGCCTGCCCACGCCAGGAGACAAGAGGACAGCAGGGAGCTGCTCTGTCATGGCAGGACTGTGGACTGCTGTAACTGAATTCCAGGGCCAGGCAACTGCAGGAAGTGTCCAAGAACTGGATACAGAGATAAGCAAGTGGGAGCACAAGTCTCACATGGGGAGAGCAGTGACAGCGTGCCCTCGGGTGTCTCCGTGCCTGCGGTGCCCCAGCCTCTGTCAGCGGCCAGGCGTGACCAGGGCCAACAGCTCCCACGGCCTCCTTTCCTGTCCCCGAGTCAACACCACACGCCAGACCTCACTGAAGTTGGCGAAAGGTGGGACGAGCAGGGGCCGAGAACAAGCCGGCTCCCCGTGGCCCGTCTGCCTCACTGGTGCGGGGACAGAGGGAGTGCAGCGGCTCCCACCAAGGCTCGGGCGCAGGGTGCCGTCCCGGGCATGCTCCAGCAGGTCCCCCACAGCAAGCGGGAAGGGAGCTCCTTCCCAGCTGCCCAGCTCTAGGGGAGCCACCACCGAGCCCTCGGGGGCAGAGCCCAGGAAGGCCGAAGCCTCGTGGCCAGGCAGCCACCTTTCGGGAGAGCCCAAGGTTCTGCTGCCGCACACACATGCCCAGTTCTGAAGGGAGTCACCGCGGTGTCTGCCTACCCTCAGTCTATCGCAGAGCAGCCGCCCTCACCCAGTGACCTGCGTCCTGGCCCACAACACGCCAACCCTAACCCCCTGCCCCGCTGGCATCCTGACAGCACTGCACTGGCCCTTCAGGGCCAAGCAGGGGTGCCCCGTGGGGCTGGGGGTGGCACCTGGCTGGTCGGGACCGTGCCCGGTGAGGCTGTGGGGAGCTCAGTCGGCGCAAACCCACGAATCCTAGCTGCGGGCGGAGGAATATCAGGTGCATCTCTACGCCCTGAGGGCTAGACTCCTACACTTAAATCCCTCCCACTGGAACAGCCGGCTCCAGTTTCACCGAGCCAGCGAGCCAGCGTGAGAACAGAACCTGCTCCTCAGCCCCGCCGTCAGCTCGGCAGAGACACATCCTCAGGCCACCGCAGGTACGCAGGCAGCAGGTACTCAGCAGGTACGTGCACCTCTCTCCTCTCAGAACTACCCCCTGCGTCTTTCACCTGGCTGAGGAGCAGCTGGATGGTGGGCTCTGCCTCCCTCCCAGCCGGGATTACTCAGAACCCAGCAGGTGCACAGCGGGGAGCAGGCAGGGCTGAGGCTCTGCTGGGGCTGGCACTTCACTTAGAGTGTGGCCAGGGCCGCCCGCTGGGAACCCAGGGCTGGAACTGGGGATGGGAACCAAGTGTGAGCTGTTGACCATGCCTTACAATGAACTCTGGTTTCTACATGAAAAGGGCAAGAAAGGTGTGTGCGGGCATAAAGGTTGCTCGTCGCTGGTTTTAGTTTTAGTTTATTTTTTAAAACTTTTTCTTGGGCCAGGTATACTGGGGATTAAATCCATGGGTGCTTACCCACTGAGCCACATCCCCAGCCCTTTTTGAGACAGGGTCTTGCTAAGTTTCCCAGGCTGGCCTCAGCCTCCTGAGCAGATTTTTTACAACTTTTCAATTTTAAAATAAGTTCTGTTTTGACACAACCTTCCAAAAACAAAACTTGGCCAAGGAGATATGCTTTTGTTTCTTGTTAAGGTGGTGCGCGCTCCCTCCCTCTCTCTCTCTCTCTCTCTCTCTCTCTCTCTC